GCCTACTGATCATCGTAGAACGAGCCTATAAACCATATAGCATTTTATGTTATAGTTTAAATTACATTTATAGTTTCTATCACTTCCTCAATCACCTACATAATTAATAATATTGCGGAAATAGATCTATGTACACATTCGCAGTAATGGTGAATAACTTCCGAGTAAAAACAAATAACAATACTCAAAATCCATTTTAATCCTGGACACTGAGTTTCCAAAAACCGATTGTTTGATCACTGAAAATCATTTCGTTAAAAATACCTAGACAAATTAATCTACTTCCAGAAAGAATGAGAAATCTTTCAGAGAGAATCACCGGATGACTGGACTGATTTCGCTGGCTAACAACTGAGCAACGGGGACCAGGGCACGTTGTGCGTGGCGAGGGATTTTTTAACGATGCGCTTTCGCTTGTGGAAGTGTCCCCCCCATCAGGGCGCGTCGTACGTTGGGGATACCCGGGGAGAGAGAGATCGGTAAATGGTCGCCGGACTTCTGGGTTTTTTTCCATTTCAAATGCGCTGTAATGCCCTCTCCCCCTCCACTCCTTCCCCTTGCCCTTCCACTCCAGGCTCGACGTTGGTTTTCAGGTTTTTTTTGAGGGGGTGAGGTGGGGGAAGTAGAGACCTTTCCAGAAACGTGGTGGGAGTTCGGGAAGCTTCAGGTAGATGGAAAGGCGAATGTCGGCTTAGGAAAGGGATTCGTACAGAAGCAGAAATTCCGGGGAGAGATTATGTTTTGCGAAATCTTTTCCCAACGCAGAATCTGTCCTGACGAGGAAACTTCCACAAGCGAAAGCACATCGTTAAATCGCATGGAGACTTCGCCGGCGATTTCGGATTTACTAATCGTTGCGCAACTTCATGTGACGCAATTAAGGATTGCGCGGCGTGCACAGTCACAACATTATTTCGTAGGATAACTCGAATAAGGCGCTTTGTCCCATTCAGATCCCGTCTTTTTCATTTCCTATATGCACTGCTTTAATAGTTATAGTTTATAAATCCTCAACACCTACCTACCACCTTCATACAAGTTCCCAGCTTCCTACCAGTTTTTCACCCAAAAATTTTCCGTCGAGCGGGAGGGGGGAGAGGGGTAGTAAAACTGTGAAATAAGAATCAGAAATAGCCGGAAGGAAAATTTCGTAGTTTTAGATTTGCCGGATCGCACATTCCTACACTTTTCGGAACTTCCCAAATTTTCCTACATCCACCAGATATATCTATTGTCACGGAGTGAGAAACCGTACTAACTCTGAACATTGGCCACATTGCTGGGTCTATCTGGTTCAAGCGTGGCATTCGCTATATTGGGTATGACTTCTCTGGCGAGCATGTCTAAATACCATCCGTTAGAGAGGGTGGGCGTGGCCACGCACTTCATCTCAATGAGCGATATACTCATTCTAAAGGAGTCATAGACATGTCTCTGCCCAGCACAAGATGACAGTTGCGAATTGAACTATCCCACGAATAACCAATCCTTACGCCTCCACCGGATCTCGGGGATAAGAAAATAGGATTGGTGTGTGAATGAGGAAAGCGACCCACACAATCCGTGGAGTGTCGAAAGCTCGGAACAAAGCATTGTTGGCAAAATGGAGATTGGAACGCCTAACTAACTACAGGGCTCATCAATGAAAAAACTAGCTACGAGGAAGATGTCGGCTTCATTACCTAGAGCAAAGACGGTTTGATATGGAAATCAATGGAAACGAGTGGGAGCTCATACTTGACTCTGATTCAGGCCTAGTTCACATGTAGGAACATCGTACGTCTGGGAGCAGCTCAATTGGTACGGAAAATGTTTTTGTTGATGACGGTTTAAGGCGCCCTATCCAGAAAGGCTATTACCCGCGAAACGGGCAAAAGTCAGTAGATGGCCAGGATATAAGGATGGGTATTGTAGAGGAAATTCGGCGGAGGGGATCGTATTTTGCAAAGAAAAAAAAAACAGCCACATGATCTGTCCTAGTAACATGAGTTATTCCAAGGGTTCGGAAAAACGCTAGTGAGAAGCTGCGAAAGTCGATTTCAATCCGTAGTTCTGAGCTAGCTATTGTCGCCCATCCTAACTGCAGGACGGTGAATACACTTCAGATCCCTGACATGCGGTCGGCGTGGCTGCGCAGTTCATCTGAACGTGGCGGCGACTGCACTTTTGATGGTTATTTCCATTCGTGAACATTTGTGGTCATGTCTTCGACCAGCATAAAGGTAATAGCTGTCTGAAGTCGAAAATATCCCACAAACAACAATTCCTACGCCATGTTCAAATAAAGTACGCAGCTATGCCTATTTCGTCTGAGAGTTGTGGAGTATAGAATGATTGTGTCATTGAGAGGGAGTAGGAATGCTCCGTCTGAGTGCCACAACCAGCGAGAGGGTCGGATGGCTCGAAACTTGCTGGCAAAACCGGATAGGGAGTACGATGCTCAGGCTGGCGGCTGACGCCAACGGTAATGGTGAAGGGTCAGTGGGGTATGGCACAACGCCTCTCGCAGCCCTCCACCACTAAGTTCAGACTTCGCGACGGCAGCGCTTCGGTCGCGCGTTCGGCGCGATCGATGCGCATGCTTTCGACTGCATCGATCGCGTCGAACGCGCGACCGAAGCGCTGCCGTCGCGAAGTCTGAACGCTGCCTAACAAACCGCCAGCACCCAGCCAACTGTCTAGTAAGGAGTGCGAGTTACATAGTCCATGGGCTCGTGGTCACATAAAAACCTACCCCAACTAAGCACATCCCTTGAATGAAACTATTGTGAGCATTCAGTTCCAGATGATCTCGCTTCTGATCCAACAACGAAAACTTCATGATGTTCTGAAAATCAAGATCGACATTTGAACTTTCATATAAATGGAGCAATAAGGAAATAAATAATTTTGAAACAAATAAACAAAATCAGACCTTGTCCTTTCCAGCTGTCAATAGAAAACCGCCGAAAGGCACCACACAAGTGACATTATCGTAATGTGGTGGATTAAAGTCTACAGTTGATTCGTACACGCCTTCGCCTGAAAACACACCTATCAGCCTTCAATAACGATTTTTTAATTAGCAAAAAATACGAGTAAAAGAGTTAAATTTCGAGAGCAATACACATAGAATTCTGTTGAAGGGCTCTCAAAATCAACATGAAGCGCTCAAAATGTTGTAAGGAAATCGCAGAAAAGTAGATATACGGTGCAAAAAAGGAGAACTTGAAAACAAACAGACGCAGTCCGGCTTGTGAGGAGAGGGGAAAGGCATTCGAGGATATACACTGTTCAAAAAGGATATTGTTTAAAGTCACAGTTCCTCCCATAAAGAAGCAGTACACCGACGAGGAAAGCACGATGCTAATAGTGAGGCCTTGCTCCGCCCATGCAACAGCGTGACCACCAATGACGTTGGCAATAACCGCTCGCCTTCAGGCATCGTGCCTTCAGGAAAGACGTGCGAAGAATCTTGAACAGGATGGCTGGGACATTTGGACCTACAAAGTCTTCTTATTGGTAAACTAGCCCCTCGTTCTAGGATGATGACGAGGTCCTGTGCGCTAACGAGGTAAGCAGAAGGCCTGACTCCGCCTACGCGATCAGCGCGGACTGCGTTCTTGAAGAAAGATCAAAGGCGGTACTAGAAGATTTGCCAACGCATAAGCAGTCCTAGCATATTTCACACCTCGAGGATAAGGGGCGGAAGAAGGACTGACTCATCACTTACTACATTGCATTACTCTTTTTCATTTCTTTTCTTATACTTTTTCAAACAGCCAATATAATGGCCTAGAAACAGGTGAACCCAGAACCCACCTCCAAGGCTACACTGGAACATTTTCACGTAATGATCTCGTGACCCGGTGAAGATTTGTGGCAGTCCATCAGGTCCTTCGGATACGGCCAGACATGACACTTCCGATCTAGACATCAAAATATGCTATTCATGACGTGACTCTTGACAATTGACTACAATACCTCGGGCTATTGACGGCACCAACGAGTCGTCCGAATGAGGCCCATTTGTCGAGATTCCAAATGCGCACGTCACCGCCGAAGGAGGTGAAGAGAAGTTTGCCCTTCGGATCAACTTCAGCCGCATTTACCACAGTTTCCAGGAATGGCACCGTATTTTGTCGTGATCCAGCTGGACCTCCATCACCTGGTACAAATAGATGACTAAAAGACACCAGAAAGAACTGCCAGCAAAGCAACTGTTATAATCGGACATAAAAGCCACACATCATCACCTTTTTCCATTGCTTCAACACTCAATGAATCTGAACAGATTCGTCTCTTAACAATGTAATCCCAAAGTCAGGAGGAGGGAATTACAGTCTTGCTCGCTGTGGAGGCAGCGGCGTGTCCGGGGGCCTGGTTTAGCGCGGTGCCACTCTGTTCTCCACCAACTGATGAAGCGAGTAAGCGATAATAGTCGGTGAAGAACGAACTGGCGCCGTGCCGAGCCCAGCCTCTTGACACGCCCCGGCATACGCAGCGAACAAGGCGATATTCAGATTCTGCCGTACTCACCATCATTCACTTGACCGCTGGACTGCAACATTCGTATACATTCTTGCGTTCGTAAATCCCAAACACGTATCTGAAATACGTGATTTGATCTATCTCAAAAGCTGAACTTCGGTGCAGATTGGTTTGATGGGGGCATCGAATGATACTCAGTTGAGTTTGTAAAAGTTGCTTTGTGAAGACCTGTAAAGTGCTGGGACTAAAGCGATTCACCCGAATAAGCTCGCAGCTTCACAAGAGTTAGCAGGTCTTGTTGGGGCCTATCAGCAGTTCTGGCGCAGTGCTGAAGTCAGTCAGGAGGTGTCAGCGGCGTATAGACTGTGGCGCAATGGCAGCCCCTTTCCCAAAACTTACTGAATGCTTTAAGCCGAAACCATCAATGAAGAAAGGCTGGCGTCGCGCCAGAACTCACCCACACTGACACGCCCCGACTATTACCAGTGATAATGGCTGCATGTATGCAGAGGGTTCATGCTTTATGAATTCACTTGCTCTCGCAAAAACTGGGGAGTACAGATATCGTCCTTACAACAATTAACCACATATCGGACCCCTTTTATCACTTGAAAAAAGGCTTGAGATGGAGATATTTCAAACTAACCTGATACATCGACACTGAAATGGCCAGTTGAGAATTGGGTATAAACCGTACTGCATGAACATTATTTGGATGAACACCCAATGTCCTCACTTCACTTCCAGTCTGCAGATCCCACAGCTTAGCAGTACGATCTGAAATGACACCAACCGTAAGATAAAATTAGCCCCCAACGGTATGTTACGTTATGTATTGGGGGAGGCGAAAAAGACAACTGTAATTTGCCGCGCTGTCGCGCGCGATCAGGCAGCGATGTGTGGAGGGTTCTCATCATGCATCATTTTGTCCATTGAAGCAACCAAATCTATAAGAATTTAAGCGGAGGCAAGATTCTATGCTAAGTGATATCTATCTTCTCTACTACTTGAATTCAAACGGCCAATTTAGACAACTCGTCTCTCGCGTGCGCGGCGTCGCTCGCCACGCCTAGCGCGGTATGTTTGGAGGTCGCTGGAGGGATGGGAGGGGAGGGGTCGCATTCCTCTAAGAAATGTTTTGGTTTTCGACGTTTCTCAGGCCTTTGCTGTTTCAAGTGCGCCGTACCCCCCCCCCCTCCATTCGCCCGCTCAACGGCAGTTTTTTCAAGGGGAAATGTAAAACTGCGGAAAAGTGACAGGTATTTGGAAAATTTAGAACGATGGAATGGGGAAGGGGAGGGGAGGGGTAGACTTAGAGGGATGTCGTACTTTGCAATGATTTTTCTTTCAAAGGAATATGCCAACCTGATGTAGAATATTAAAGGGAAGCCCACACTGATCACATGGACGGAGACAGCCAACCGTTGTTCTGTCCAGCGGAAAGGCGTGAATGACCCTGATTCAGATTGTTACAGGCACAGTCCACGCTGACTGTACAGGAGACAGCTCCTCTTGACCACACTTACAGCGAAGGAGACCACTGATGAGGAAAGCACAATCTATATTGGGCTCCGCCTATGTGCTCATCGCGGAATGTGTTTTCAACCTACTGGGTTTTATAGTATAATAAGTCGTGGTTTGAAAATTACACTTTTCGCCCTTTTATAAGAGAATACATACCTTTAGATCCAGAGAGAAGAAGTTCATCGGTGGCAGCCACTGAGAGGACAGCTTTTGAATGTCCTTCTACAGTAGCTGTTCGTGTCACTACCCGATACTGCCCACCAGTACCTGGTCGTGCGGGAACAATACGACCTTGCCTTCTGAAATAACAGTAAAATAGACGAAATCGTGCAAAATTTCATGACCATCACTTTCTATAATTCCTATGAATTACATTTTAAGAGGACTTAAAGGTGCAGACCATGGTGATCATATGGGCATAAATAAAGAAGAACAGTGCATCTTTCATTGGTGCATCCTTCATTTCAACGCCGAAGAAGAAGCGCACCAATGAACAATGAACATCAGTTCCTCGTCTCCGCCCATAAGATCAGCGTGGACTGCGTCGTTGAAATCAAACTGCTGACAGCAATTTTACGCACAATCTGAATCTACTGAACGAGCAGAAATAATCTCTCCAGAATCCCGATAAAGGGAAGAAATTAAGCGCATTATAGAGAAGTAAGCATTTTGCAACCAAGGGAGCGAATCTAATGAGCAGCAATAGCTTCAAGGTAAATTGAACCAAACAGTGCTGTTTTATTTAAGGCTCTAGTGGAAGTAACTAACTGTATTAGTAAAAACAGAAAATTAGATACGCGGCTATTGTTCTCAGTACTGCCCGCTGACCATTCCTGATGATTAGTGGGGGCCATGCTCTCATCAGCGAGAAGCCATGAGAATAGTAGCCACGAAAAATCAACCATATAGATAGTAAGTCAGACCGATTCAAAAGCGTTGAAGGACTGGCTTCGGTTGTCCACGGTATCAGACGCGCAAATACGGACTTTGTGGTCCGAGTTGAATGGTCCGAGCCGGCCCGTTCACGGACGGACGACATGGGCGCGTCTTCACCGCCCACAGGAACTTCAGCCAATGACGGAAGGCGAGATGATGAAAGCATTCGGCTACCCAGATTACTAAACACAACTACAACCACCATCTAGCACAACAACATAGTTACGTGACAAAAGCACACAATATTAATCGATAGATTAGAATAGTATTAATATATTTGTTAAAAATCTACTTCACCACAAGAATATCTTATCAAAAAAAATACCGCTACATGGAGGATTCGCCACAGAATGCGATCCCTATCTACGAAAAAAAACAATGGCTAAAGAAGGAATGCGCCAAGGGAGAATGGTCAGACCTCACCAGTTGCCGAGGAACGCAAAAGCAGGGATCCCACCAACCACTGAGGAAAGGACCCAAAAGTATTTCACCAGGTTAAACCTCCCATACTCACAGAGTGGGTTGGAATGGCTGCAAAGGCTAGGAGTAGGGTGGTGTGGTAAACAAGGAACTTTGCTCATTGCCCTGCTGACAAGGCCTACGCCGAGCAATTGGCAAAATACATGGAAGACCCATGTTGAGATATTTCTCCATAAGCTCGCGTTTCCACATCCAGATATGTCTGAGTTCCAGTGTTAAAGGCAGTTGGCACGATGATTTGGTGCTCGGCCTAAAATGCTAGGGCGCTATATAGTGGGGAAATGGCGAAAGAACGGAGTGAAACGGTCAAAATCCTGCGAAGAAAGAGCCTCCGTTCTCAATGTGTTAGAAATCAATTTTGGACGAGTTTCCTGTAGGCATCTTGCCAATAACCGCTACCGAAGGTACGGCTGCATATGTGTACTCATATATCCATGCAGCATCACGGCCGCTTCATACCAATCCCTTCGCTTCATAATTTGCTTAGCAAATGAATCGATTAGAGCGTCAGGAACGGTCGTCCATTTGTGGGCGGGCGGGCGTGGCGGGCGTTTGGGTCGTAATGTTGTGGCTTGATAGGGGCACCTCCCTGGAAAAGGCATTATGCAGCGCCTGCTCAGGGTCGCGGAATTCCGTCCTGCCAGGCGTATTAATCCTACTCGTCTTGGGGGATTTATCGTGCCAACTGCCTTTAAGAAGACCTAGAGAATGGGGTTGAGGAGGCATGCCGATTGCTTGACTAGGCTGTCTCTCCCTGTTCGCTCGTAGTTTCCAGAGCTGAGGCTGTTGAAGAGGACCACTACTGGCAGGCTGTTTCTTTCTGGCGTCATTTTCGCTGCCATAACCCTAGTTACTATTTCCGTCACTATATTTTTTCGTTCGCCTCCTCATATCGATAAAGCAGCTCCCTCCCGAGGGGAGGAGTTGCTCATAACGGGAGGGCAGTGATCGTTAAAATAAGGCTCGAATCGCAATCCCGTAGCAAATATTCAGGGGCGTTTGAAGGCAAAATGCGCACTCTGTGAATTCAGCTCCCTGCCATGGATGAGGTGAACGGGTCTGCGGCTGCAGTAGTGTGGTACATTCTCCGCTCAAGAGGCTAGACGGTTCTGATGCACGAGTGTCGTCTCCCTAATCCAGGCCGCGCTGCTGCACAGCTAACCGCACGCCCCCAGCCAAACGCGCTACTTGTCTGTGCCCTCTTACTTCTGATTGTTCTCTACCGCTGGGTGCATTCTTCGCCGCGGAATCTTGGTATCGACGCAAAAGCTGCACACTTAAGGTATCGCGTGCGGAGTATGGAGACAGCAGCTAGTTCCCTCCACTCTCCCGTCGTTCCCGTGCACTTTCCAAGCGAAAAAAGTGGCGCAATACTGC